TTTCACAAAGTAAGCTTTATAAAATTAAAATTAGAATGTCTTTTACGAGAAAATTCAATGTATGTGAAAAAAAAATACTTTCATTCAAAAATATCGATGTACAGTCTATCGTTTTCTTTCTCCAACTTCAACCAAAAAAAAAAAAAAGAGAGAGAGAGATATCTCGTTACAATTGCGTGAATATTTACGTTAATAATAATATTAATAATATTAATAATTTTATATATTAATATTATAAATAATAATATAAATACAATATAATACAAATTATATAAAAATAATATAATGTAATATAAATGATATGAATATAATATAATATAATAAATATAATATAAATTTTAATATAAATTATATAAAAATAATATAATGTAATATAAATGATATAAATATAATATAATATAATATAATATAATATAATAAATATAATATAATTATTAATAATATTATGTACCAGCGATATATTTAATAGTATTTAACGATCGAAAGAAGCCATTAAGAAACAATTAGAGAGAAAAATATCTGGCTCGGAGGATGGTCGTGTCCATTGATTCTATATTGACTTTGCGGAATCCGAAACGGTACGAATCGGAGGCGGATCAACTCTGCCCGAGCAGAATTATTACATGCTACAGCAAGGAAGGACTGCCGTCCCCTTTGCCGGCAATCATTCATGTTATTATAGGTTAAGGGGGTTGTTGCTACGACGATTCGAGCGATTCTAATCCACGCGCGCATCCCGCTGCATTTTATTAGCGTATTTACCGAATCCCTCGGAGTACTGGCAAAAGTATCGGTATTATCGGCTGTTCGTGTTCGTCCATTACATTCGTCGCTTCTATCATCGAAGTGACAGAGCTTAAGCGCCTTTGCTTTTATACGTATCGATGAATTATGCAACAACGAGAGGTGAATCAGTGTTTCTACTCTCTCATCTCGCCGGAGAGTTCCACTCTCCGATACCTTCTTCTCCACTTTATTAATACCCGCTATGTACTTTCTAAAGGCAAATGAAATTTAGTCCTCGTAATTATCAATGTACAATCTCTGATCCAAAAAATTAGGGTCCACTTACGATTTTCAATGTCTTTTGCATTCTTAATTCAAAAGGTTCAATGCGATTTGATAATAATTTTTATTAACTTGTATTTATTAATTATTAAGGTAAATATTTCTTCTCGTGTGTATTTACTGTTTTATTTTTGGACGATCTTGATTTATTGCTTAAAATAAACGATGCATTTATTTAATTACTTGTTCTAGTACAAAAATTCACTTCGGTCTTCAATCGCTGATTACGGAAATTTTATCGCTGTTACACTCAATTGTGAAAAATGACAAAATATTGTGTAATAATACGTGTATCATTAATAATTAATAAAATTATTAATTATTAGTGTAATGCATTGGTTGAACAAAATTATGAAATGGTTGATCTACTCTTCATTTGCACAATATCTGCCAGATATATATCCGATAATTATATTCTATCGTACATTCGTTTTTATTATTAATTATAATTCCTGTAAAACGGTCTTTTCCCACCCTGAAGTGAGTTTTCAGTTTTAACTTTAATTTAATATTTGTATCAAATTAGTAGGTAGAAATAATTTTACGATATTAATGTACATTTAACATCAACATAATGACACACTGACGTAATCAAATTAATTTAAAATTACTTTATTTAATTATAAATAACTTATTTATTATAAAATTATTTAAGTTACTCCAACGACCCACTTGAGGGTTAAACTGACTGAATATTTATAAAAATTATTTATTATAGTTTATAGTATTTATAAAAATTATTTATTAGTTTATAGTATTTATATAAAATTATTTAAAGTTACCCCAACGATCCACTCGAGGGTTAAACTGACTGAATATTTAAATTATTATATTATATAAATAAAAAAAAAAAATAATTTCAATAATATTTAATCATATTTAACGTAAATTATATATTAAATTTTAATTATAAATATAAGATATTAATACTATAAATAAAATATAATCATGGTTACATTAGATAATCAAAATAAATCTGCAAATAATGACATCAGCACACAATAAAATCATTAATTTAAAATTAAACGTCCAGATCTATTTGTCAATCACGAAATATTCAAAGTACGTATTCACCTTGAGCACACATGAAAGTCAGAAACACACCTTTCGTTCTTCGACTCGATATATACCGACACACCAAAAATTAAATATAATCCTTGAAGATGCCTCGCGAAAACGTCACTTTTCAAACAGACGCACCTTCAATCGCTTGTAATTAATAGCTGTTGCTGGCTAGCCCCCTCCCCCCCAAACGACCCGAGTATGTCGTTTGACATATCAATCGAGCGACTATGGCGACGGCCGGGGCCATACGCGAGTAGTTCCATCAACCAGTTCGCAGCGGCAAGGGTTGCTCTTTCCTTCTATCGGCGAAAAGCGTGCGCGTCGGGTTCACTGGCGTCGGATTAGCTTCCAGCTAGTTATGATTAGAGGAGACAGTTGGCCCTCGAGCCGGACTACTTCATATTCGAATACCGATCGGGGGCAGGGAGGCGAGCGTCAGCCGAAGCATGTCGGTGTTTCGGTGGAAAGGGGGGCGGCGATAATACGCACTGACAGCCGCGCACCCTCGGCAACCCCCGGTCGCTCATGTCGGGGGGGGTCACCGAGTGAAAAGGAAGGGCGGATGGGTGCCGTACGAGAAAAGAAAAACATATACAACCCGATAGAATGAGCATCGCATGCGCCGACGCTTGCTCGTGTTCGTTCCCTCTTTCTCGTCCTGGGTTCCGCGCGCAGAATTACCCACTGATGTTATAATCCTCTCGTGTTACGCCGTCGCACATGCTGTCCTGTAAGCAATACATTGTTTTCTTTTCTCTCTCTCTCTCTCTCTCTCTTCTCTTTTCTCTTTCGTGTACGCGCGTGGTGCCTACATCCCCCCAACGCTTGCTTTACGACGCGAGGTCGCCTATCGGTACCCATATGCACACTTTGCCGCCGTGAACGAGAGGCACGAGAGAGGTGTCGTCTGTTCTGTTGCACAGCGATCCGTTCGCCGACTGGGACAGTTTCTTTGTCGAGTCGGGACAGCCGGAATTAACGAACGATTGACGTTGGCGTGAGCGCACGCTGCCGGAGAATTTGAAACAGGTTTTGACAAGTGTCCGGCAACGGAGGTGACAGCTGGCCTCGCAGCTTTGTTTCAGGATCGTTTCAGGCCGAGGGTTTTAACGCGTTCTTCGGTCGTTCTCGAACTCGGCGTTGTACTTTCTATCGGTTCCTTTTTGTCTTCAGAGAAAGTAGAATCGAGGCATGTACACGCGCTAGATTTTGGAGTATTATTATATATCGACTTGCGCTGGCAATTGATTGCGAACCACAACGAGCGACCAAACCGTATACAATAATTGAATTTATCGGTATATCACTGGATAGAAATTATTGAGAAGCAATAAATTTATTATTTGTTTTGGCAATAAATTTATTATTTGTTATTTATTATTTGTTTATTATTTTATGGGTTTTGCCTAATTTTGTTTTACTTAAATATACTTAAAGCTGAGAAAATATTGCAATTTTGGGAAGAAAAAATTCTCGGCGTGTGTGGCACGTCATTTTAGCGCAAGAGGTTAAAAGTATTATAAAAGGAGAAAATTAATATTAAAAAGCATGAAAATATTTGGGATTTTTATTTGCTTCTTCTGCCGACTTAATGAACTTCTTTAATGAACTGTCATCCTCCATAATAAGCAAATGACCACATGAATGTTTTTAGCTTAAAGCATTAAAAAATTTAGGATTTTTATTAAGAAGAAAATTAACATTTTATTTCAAAGTGTTGAAACTGCAATTAGAATATAATTGCAATATTCTTATTTGTGTAAATTCTTATAGATCAAAAATTTACGTAGATTATGTACAGATTCTTAGAGATTAAATGCTTCTTAAAATTCTGCAATGTATATTAGTCGTAATTAAGGACGCACTTTACATTTAGTAAATCAATTTTTTATTCAAATCCTCATTTTTTTTTTGTATTTTCTTATGTCTGAACGTTTAATTTACTAATAACAGATAATTTTCTAGTTATTAGAAAACATACTGTTCTGGACGTTTAATCTACTAGTAACAGATAATTTTCTAGTTATTAGAAAATATATTGTTCTTGCAATATAACATTTGGATATTAAAACATTCAAATGATGCAAGTTTGGATAAGGATAATTATTTTAGTGTAATATTGTTATTATTTATAGTAGCTTTGAATAAATACTAAATACTAAATACTACCTATGAGTACCTGCGTACTTTGAGAAAATAAGGATAATACAACAAAATGATCAAGCAATACATCAACTATTACAAATCTAATATTAAACTAAACAACTAACACTAAAGATCTTTTATTAACTAATTGATTCCACACAATCGTCTCAAAAATTTCTTCGTTTTCTTCAAATATACATGATGAAGTTAAACAATTGTAAAAAATACCGAATGTTACCTTGATCTATATACAATTTTAAGAACTTTAAGAAACGAAATGATCGTACAAACTAATACAAATACAACTACAACCAATACTGAACATCAACGCCGAAGGTTTTTGTTAATTTTACATCGATTGATAGACACGTTGACTGGTTTTTAACCTCTTGCGCTAGTAACTGGTTCACGGACCATAACGAGTGACCAAATCGTACACAATAACTCGTCTTCTTTTTTTAAATTGAACCGGTATATCACTGGATAGAAATTATTAGGAGGTAATAAATTTATTATTTGTTTTGCCTCGGTTATACCTCAATGTACATAAAACTGAGAAAATAGTATAATTAGTGTAATTTTGAAACAAAAACTTTTCGGCGTGCGTGGCACGTCATTCCAGCGCAAGAGGTTAAATCAGAGATCAGCAAATTGTACGAAAAGAGACTCTGAAAAATGAATTTTTGGTTAATCTCATCGTCAATAATCGTGTTTCAGATACTTGGTAACGGGAGGGCTAATAGATCGAGTGTTCCGTCACAGTCGAGCGTTGATCGAAGCCGACTTCTTCATGGATCAGGACCACGAGTCGCCAGTTCTTCTGTCCTCGTACGATTTGCTCTGTCGCATCTGTTGCCACTTAAAGAAGTCAACGGATCAAGAGGCGGGATCTGTTCACGAAGGCAACAACAACAACGTCGAGCAGACGAACGTCGAGTCGCACATCCTCTCGACGCTGGCCTCGACCGAAGCTGCGGGCGCGATCGGCGCGCTTTACGCCGCGGTCGCGCTCACGCCGCAAAATCAGAAAGGATCCTCACCGACCCCCAATCAGATCACCGTCTCCCAATCAATGAGGATTCTCATCGTTCGCAGCCTTAGGCTACTTAAATCGACCGCTGGATTGAACATCCAGAAATTACAGGTGAGTAGTCAGAAGTAGTTTCTTCTTTTAATCGATTTTTTGTTGTTGTTCGATTCCTCGATTTTGAAAGACAGTCGCGTGGCAAGAGTGGATAGAGCGACGAGATTTACTGATCGTGGCAAATTTTCAAGCTGAGTCAATCATTGATTCTGGAATGAATTTCAGGCTCAGAATTTAAATAAATTAATATATAATTAAATAATTAATATATAAATTAATATATTGTTGTACTATAAATTAATAATGAAATAAATTAATATATTAATACTATACTTTAAGTATTATAAATTAATAATGCTATAGTACTGTGGATTTATAATACTTGTACTATATATTAATAATAAATTAAATAAAAGTTAATATATTATAACATATTAATTAAAATAAAATTAATATATTAATACTATACGTTAAGTACTATAAATTAATAATACTGTAATATTATGGATTTATAATACTTAAGTACTATATATTAATAATAAATTAAATAAATTAATATATACTGTACTTATGTATATATATATATATTAATATATACTGTACTATAAATTAATAATAAATTAAATAAGTTAATATATTAATTAAAATAAAATTAATATATTAATGCTATACCTTAAGTACTATAAATTAATAATACTGTAAGATTATGGATTTATAATACTTAAGTACTATATATTAATAATAAATTAAATAAATTAATATATACTGTACTTATGTATATATATATTAATATATACTGTATTATAAATTAATAATAAATTAAATAAGTTAATATATTAATTAAAATAAAATTAATATATTAATACTGTACCTAAAGTACTATAAATTAATAATACTACAGTACTATGGATTTATAATATTTAAGTACTATATATTAATAATAAATTAAATAAATTAATATATACTGCACTTGTGTATATATATTAATATATACTGTACTATGACTTAATAATAAATTAAATAAATTAATATATTATTGTACTATATATCGTAATTAATTATATATAAATAAAAATAATAGTTTACTCAAGTGTATGATGTTTTGTAAGTTATCAAATTCAGTTCACGGACCGAAGAACCAAAACAGAGCAGGTTTTTCACAAAAGTTCTCAGTACCGTAACATTTTTAACATTTTACGTTAAATTTCTATTTTGTTTTGACATTTCAATCAAATTCGTCGTGTCGTTTTACGTAATACAGTAAACGAGAGTCCTTTCGTTGTCCTGAAAAGGAACAAATGCGACAGAAAGGATCGGGCAACGATTCGTTTCCCTAACCAATAGAACGCGACGTTCGATCAATTAACAAGCCTAAATGAGGTAAAGGGAAAGGACAAAGGGTTAACTCCTTCACCTTGTCCCAATCTTTACAGCGACAGTTCTTCATCTTATTAAACCGCAAACTGTGAAAACAAATCAGCGAGAAGCGATATACTAGCGCGACTTCCGGTTGAAATTGAAATTTTGATTCGGTTCTCATTGCCTGGACAGCTAGAGTCGCTAGTCAATTCCTTATTAGATCGAATCGTATCTACTATCGTAGATAACGCGACAAAGATATATCGTATATCGTAGGGGGGTTCGCCTGTCAAGATAGAAAGCCCTCTCGTGTGGTACGCAATGATCAAACCACGAATTGAATCGAAGGCTCGCGCCCCCGTCCGCAAAAGCCATAAGGGCTATCCGGTGTCCCATCGGAGAGAGCCTGCTGAGTCTCATGGGGCACAGCTCCGATTATCCTTGCGGTACCGTACAGCCGGCGTTTGCCGAAAAACCAACGTTTATTATCTATTCTCTTTGACTTTCTGACAACGATATCCGGCTGTGTTCTTTAATCACCGCCGGGGGGGGGGGGGGGGAGAGGTGTCTGTCTCTCGTTGCGTTTCAAAGAGACTTGCTCGTTGAATATTAGAGACAATAAGTTGAAGAACTATATCCATCATTCAACTTATCCGTTTGGTGTCAAATTGACACACTGGTAGAAAATTGAAACGATAAATGATCGAACGATTGGAAAGTTTCTTTTTTATTAACGTAAAATACTTATTTAAGTAAATTACGTATAACTCTGAAATGTTCAACTGTGTATTGTGATTTTACACATTTTGGATCTGACTGTGTAATTATTTTTGAATGCATATGATTTCCAAAATTATATAAAATATAATGGTTTAATCCTCAGATTATTCATCACTTGATTCTATTTTGTATTTTACATTTTAGTAATACAATTGAATTGAAATAAAGATTTCAAAGTTAAGTAACTTAATTCACATAATATGCAATTGTCGTAATAATTTGCAAATAGTATCATTATTAGATGATGATAATAACTTATGTTAGATTACAAAAATTGAAGATGATATAACAAATGTATTGCAACATAAATATGTTGTGACATTATAAATATGAATCTAACAATAAAATAAAATTGAAGTAAAATGAAATTAAATCAAAATACATAAAGTATTCAGAACATAATGCTTGCCATTGCAATATTTAAATCTCAAATAGTATTGCGATCAATAATTTAATTTTAATATCGTAACACCATTAATTGAATTTTACTTTCAATCTTTATCGCGGACAATTTAAAACACAGAATAAAATTTTATTAATGCAGAGTAAATCGCTGCGTTGTCGAGATCTCTCCTTCGAAATTAATAATAATATTAAAAAAATTATTTAATTTTAAATCATCGTATTAAGGGTCGATGAACGAAATAAAGTTTAAATTTCATTTTTATCATTAGATGTATAAAAATATGAAATATGCAGAAACTTACGTGCTGTCTACAAAACTAGACTTATAAACTATTAGTTTATGGAAATTCGAATTCCTTTTGATTTCAGAATCTCTTAGGAGCCGAAGGTACCAGCTTGCAATGGCGACTGATAGCTAGTCATGTGATAACTCGATTATCACGAGATCCAATATCGCACAAGCCGGAAATTGGATCTGCGCAGAACACTAGTGGTACTTACATCCTGTCAGAACTGTTCCAGGTTCTGGGATATTTTGCAGTTAACAACCCGGAAAATCAGGTAAGCGGCATCCTTCGAGGAATCGTTCTACGAATTAAAATCATCGTTATTCCGTGTCATTTCCACGATATGTTTCCCAAAGTGTAACGCAGGAAACGCGATGGTCTGTCAGAATCGATCGTGGCCAAGTTATTACTTAAAACATAGCTCTTGAATATTGAATTTTTAGACATGCTTGACCTCAGTGACCACGGTTTATTTTAAAATTCATTTGAATAATTATTCTTCAACGAAGATGCTCGCACGAAGTATGTCGAGTGAAATGTCATTCTCTAGCTTGGAAATATCTACGTATAATGACTTTCATTGATACTCGGATTGATACTACGATGTTTGAGAGATTGTTACTCTATACATCGGTCTGAAATATTTTTATTCGGTTGATTGTTTTTTTTTTTAATACATATTTCATGCAGCAAGCGGAACTAAATATCGACGAAAATTTAAAATATTCGTGTAACTAGCAAGTAATATCAAATTTATATTACTTCTAAATACATGTATCTATACGTCGTCTGTGTAATTAATGCAATTTACACACTAACGTTTTTGCAATATTAAATTCGGTCATTATTTAATTTATTACTTATTATGAAAAAAATTATACATATTAGTATAGATAAGTAAGTAAAATTCATATCTCTACTAATTATGATAAGCATTTTAACTGGTTAATTGAAATTAAAAGATTATAGATATACTTGTGAAATTGAATTAAAATACAACGATATTACAATTCTTAATCTTAATTTTTAATAAAATTTATAATAAAAAGATTATTAATTATCGTGTACATATGTAGGTACGCATAGGCAAATACTAATTTACAAACGAATTTATTACAATCTCCAACACGATTCTAAGAAAATTTTCAAAATTACGTCCCCCCATGATGTAGAAATCAAGGATATAGATCAAAGATATAGAAAAATAAATTCTAAATTGCTCAGTATTTCCTATTCTATTAACGGATTTCTTTGAAAACCTGCAAATATAGTTCTTCAAACTATAATCGACAGAAGCAAACTCTCCAAGTTAGCAAACAACGAAATAAACACCTAACGAGTTCGCTACAATCTCCAGAATACGATTCTGAAAAAATCTCCAGGAGTTACAGAAAAAAAATCCAGTTCGAAGCTATCTCCATAATCATTACTTCTATGAAAACTGAGAGACAGAGAGACACAGTATATACAGTCGCAACGATGGGAATGAAACTCCTCCAAATTAGCAAGCAAGTTGAACATCAAACGAGTTTACTACAATTTCTAATACGATTCTGAAAGAAATCTCCAAGAGTTACAGAAAAAAAATCCAATTCGAAGCTATCTCCATAGTCATTACTTCTATGAAAACTGAGAGACAGAGAGACACAGTATATACAGTCGTCTGTCGCAACGATGGGAATGAAACTCCTCCAAATCAGCAAGCAAGTTACTACAATTTCTAGTACGATTCTGAGAAAATTTCCGAAATCATGTCCACACCGGAAAGTTCCCCAAGGAAAAGCAAAGCCGGGCAACACGCATAAATCGTCGTCGTCGTCGTCGTCGTTGTCCCCCTAATGGCCCCCTCACACAATTCACCGGCCGAATCGACCGGGTAGTTAAAGGTTAAAAGCGTTTTTCCGCTAGTTTCCCCGTCCCGTATCGGATGCACTTTCGGCAGGCAAGCGCAGCCAGCGAGTGGTGATGGTGGTGGTGGCGGCTCTCCTTAAAAAAGGCGGCGAAAGACGAATGCGCGACGTCGTCGGTGCACTCAACGCAACAGATCTCCCCCCGATCCGTTGCATCCAGCACGCGCTGGATTGATGCACCCTCCTCGCAGGCCACGGCTGCACCGGGGCTGACGTATGGAATGGAACCGTGTAAATATATCTTAACTGCATTCGGCCGTATATTGATGGGAGGTCCGCTGAGTGTGTTGTGTCTAACAGCTTCTTCCTTCTTCGTTGCGTGTTACGGGCTGCATTTCACGCGAATCTACCGGGTGACTCGATCGTCCGTTCCGAGGATCGATGGCCCGCGGGTCCCTCGTTCGATCGCGGATAAATATTCCACGTGTCGCCGATAAATCGATGAATTTTCGTCGATAAATCGCGGCCCCTGGGGATTTTCGGGGTTTTAAATATCGAGTTGTCTCGCGAGTAATGTTTTTCGAGTGTTGATAGCGGTTTTTTGTTTTCTTTTTTTTTAGAGTTGATCCTTTGGAAAGGAGTTTTTAATAAATAGTAAATTTTAAAATATGTATTATATAAATATTTTATATATTTTAAAATTTATATATTTTTAAATAATAGTAAATTGTCGCACTAAATGATAAATTAATTAATCCAAATTAATCTTGAAAAATGGATCAGTCGGATGTAACATTATGTATATCTTGAAAGATTGGATGGTATATGTTTATAGCATTTTACGATTGAAAATAAAGTTTCAATTTTTGAGAGATCAGTGTTGGTACATACCAAAAGTATTCCAAATTATTGCAAAGTGTTAAGTCTGAAACAATAGTTCGAAACAGCGGGAAAAGACAGAAATAAAAATTGGAGTAACAAACGTGATAGGAAAAGATAACACAGTACAAATATAAGAGGAAATCCATCAGTAGGTGTATTGGGAATTGTGGGTGTGTAAAAAATTTAAAGTTACATAGAATGCACGTAATGCACAAGAATATATAAAATATCAAAAATACAGTACCTGTTGATGCAAACATCTGTCCAGATTCCTCTTTTCTCATCACTTTCAGAAAAATAATTCACAATCCATCCATCCACAGATTGCTAAGAAATTATTTTTCATTTTTACTTGATGTACGAAAACCAATGACTCATGATATAAAGAATTATAATAGTATGTTCTTTTCGTTTGCGTCGAATGACGTAGATGTTTGAAGAATAATATTATCATAATATTTTGATTTATTATTGGAAAAAGTTGCATATCTACGTCGATATGATAGATTTTAGGTCTTTTTTCTTTTACAATTTCAGGGAAAACACAGGTATTTTTATGAAAATTAATATTGACAAGTGATTGCATAGATCTGTTTATTTTAATTATTATTATTTAATCGTAATGATAGGTATTGGAGATTGGTCGTTTTAATGTTAATAAAATATATATGTATATATCATTACTTTGAACGGAGTATTTCTTGAATGGGCTTCTAAGTTAGGATTGCTCCTCTCTGTTTTCCAATGTTCGATCAATCTTCTCGCCATTTTCGCGTCATTTTGAATTTAAACTGGTTTTTTTGCTAAATATTTAATTAAAATTAAATTTATCATTAATAATAATATTATTTATTTAATAATTATATTAATAATTATTATAATTGATAATATTAAAATTAATATTAATCACAGCTTAATATTGTAGCTAAACATTAATATTAATCATTATCTCTGTGTTATCATTTATTATTATTATTATTATTATTATATCTCAATTAATACTCAATTGCGCCAACACGAAACGCAAAGATAATTACAGCTCCCCAAATTTTAAGATTTTTAGTTTCTCAGAACTTAAGTTACAAAATTCAGAGTTGCAAATTTCAAGAGAACAAAATTCATTGATAATCTTTATTGGAAAAGCAAAACACTGTCGTGTTTGGCCGCGGTGTATCAATTCGGGAAGTCTTCCTCCTCGAATTCCTCTCGAATATTCTTGTTTGCTGGGGCAATTTATTTCTGCCTGTTTCAGTAACTTTATTGCCAAGTTCGCGGACACGCGACAAACACGCGTATGTAACTTTCAAGACTGGTTCAGCATAGCTTCTATAATTATTCGAGTGGTTATCAAGCCAAAATGGCGACTCTTCGCTTTCGCGACAACGAATATTTTCCCTCCGATTATTTTGAAAGTCAATCTCGTCGATATTATTATTTTAAATATTCCACGATCGTTTCTAAATCCTTTGTACTTTGAGCGCTTGTGTTACTTCGAAATGGCATCAATTTTTTCATTCATGTTGGAACGCTTATTATAGTACATGCATTCTGCGTGTTAGATAAAATATTTTGGAATTTCATTAACACTGTAACGAGACATAATTGTCATGATTATATCAAATTTGAAACAAACTTAGAATTACGAGATATTTAATGCAAGTACAGTGATTCATGAAACTTGAATAGTGTATTATATGTGTTATATAAAACATATTGAAATTTCGTTAACACTGTAATGAGAGATGATTATTGCGGTTATATTTGCAAAATTTGAAACCAATCTGAAAATGTATTTAGAGATTACAAGGTTGCAAACTAGTAAATAATTATTTTACTTAATTATCAATAATTATTAATATTTATACATAATTAGTATTACAAATAATCGATATTTATATATGTAATTATTAATTATAATAATCATTAATTATTATTACTTTGCAAACTTAATCGATATTTATATATGTAATTATTAATTATAATAATTATTATTACTTTGCAAACTTAATATCTTGTAATCTCTATACAGATGCGTTTTTTTGGATTTGTTTTAAACAACATACAATCGTGATAGTCACGTTTCACTGCAATATTAGTAAAATATACTTTAGTTAGTTTAGCAAGTGAATTATCTCAAACTTGATGTATTAAATTATTCTAAAATTTACATTTAAATAAACAGTTCGATAGTTCGTGACGACATGCATCAACACAACAATTTCTAAAGCAAAAAGATCACGAGGAACTTGATTCTGAAGGTAAAAGGTTAAGATACAAAAAAAAAAAAAAAAAAAGAAGAAAGGAAAAATATTCTAGACAGGAACAAAAAGTGGTTCGATAACGAAAATTCCACAGAAGAAAAAAAGCAGGTATGTCCAGAGGAGAGATTACCGGCTGAACATTTTCCCCTGGTATTCGTTCGGATATTTCCAGTCACGGAACCGACTATACCGTGAAAATATGTGACAGTCTGGCGCCTCGGAGAGAAACGTCGCGACGCCTTCTACTACTAGCGACTATCGAGCTCTATTTTTCGAGATATCGGGATCAGCCTTCTCCTATCTAATTGTTCTGCTTAGGAGAATTTCCTTTCCCTTTATCTTTAGTCGCCTTAGTCGAGGTATCAGGTAAAAATGCGCCAGGATTTTTACAGCAGGCCTCCGCACAGTTCATTTGGAAAATGGGAAATGGGAAACAACAATTTGATGTGGCGAACTAATCTAGTTTAATATATAATTGCTTTAATAACATTTATTTTATTACATATATGGTATATTATACACTTTTTCAGTATAACAGAGAATTAAAATGAACGCTCGGAGTACAGGCTTAAAGAAACAGAAAGAAGAAGTATTTTTATATTTTTGTGAAAACGTGAATGATGGATTAGCAAAATCTAATAATCTCCATAATTTAGTTTATTACGTATATAAAAGTTAACGTGCACAGTGGCAGTTTCCACTATAATGTTATTATACAATAACTATTTAAAATTAAATTATCAATTAAAATTAATTATGATTACAAAAGAAAAAAAATTTATTATAAAACAGAAGTTATTAATTAAAAAATTAATTGTACAATAACTGTTTTGCACAGTAGTTTTCTCAGCGTTGGCAAACACATTTTACATTTACGTATTTATTTTCTTCGCGAGATACAATAATCGAAATGTGTTTCATTGTATTTTTCTTCAATCTTTCTCAACTAATCTTGACTTGATATCGATAGAAAATATACCTATCTGAATCGTTTGAGTGAAATGAATTGAATGAAACTCAAAATTAGCCAAACAATGAAATAATTCAAAGAGAGAAATTATTTTCGCGTTGAAATAAATTAATCTAGCTAGAAATGATATAATACTTGTTAGATGTTAACGCGTCTAGCTAAATAAAGTAAAATAATATATTATTCGATTCGTTATGTTTGTAATATATATCGTTTGAACGATGGCTGGTTTCAGGATAGGTTTGTGGATGAATCGCATACGCGAATCCCTTTGTACTAGCGCGAATCGTTCAGCGAAGCGTTCTGTGCATGTTACTCGAGTAGTTAATCTGCTGGGAAGCGTTTTAAATACGATAAAAATACATAGGATCCACGATTGTCGTAAATCTAGTAGGCGGTTTTACGCGGCGTAAAAATGATCTTAAAATAACGCAGAAAATGATACGCCGAGGGAAAAGGTTTGCCATGGTGTACCGCGTAATTTATCGGTACAATGTGTCCTTCGCTTAACATAATGTAGAATTAAAGACTGAGGTAGTTGGGTACTTGCATTCCTGTTCAACTCCTCGAACAAGCATGTATGTATCTGTTTTAAAATTGGGAAAAATTCAAATGATGTTTTATGCAATAAAAAAAACTATCTAAATGTTAATAAATAAATTTGTATTGTGAAAAATAATATTAATATAATTAATAGTTAATATTAAAAATAAAGTACTTAATAATAATATCAATATAGTTATAATTAATATTAATATTATATGATATATATTATTATATAATTAATATTAATATTATTAATAGTATAATAATAGTTAATATTAAAAATAAAGTACTTTGTACGAAAAAAATCTACAAAATGTTATAGTTTATAAAACATATATGTAGTTTATAGTTTTTCATTATCTACAATATGTGTTAAATATTAAAAAGAAATATCAGATGCAATAAAATATACGTGCAATTAAAAGATTTTATTTTTCTATTTTATTATAATTAAAAGATTTTATATTTTTGCAAGAAATATTAAATATTAAAAACAAAATTGTAATAATAAAATGTAAATTTAAACGTTATAATGAAACACAATATTAAACAAAATAAAAGTAAAATTGTGAATAGAAAATATCCCGAGACTTTTTACGCGTTGAGTGAAAGAATACTATTGCAACATCCAGCGCCTTATTTATTCATTTATTTATTTATATGGGACGTTCAAATATTGCAGTTCTACTGTTATGTCACGCAAAATAGACAAATTCACATAAATATAAATCTGATTTGAATAATAAATTAATAATAAATTAATTTTTAATCGATACGGTTTCAAACGATGTCGGTCAAACATAACCGTTCGGCGGTATAAATAAACTAAGAAAAAAAAAAAAAAAAACTGGGAAACAAATAAATTACGAAGCTAGCAATAGTATATTGTTCGCGGATATTTTCCATCGTTTCGTCTTCTCTTCTTCGGAACGTTGCAGCACGATCTTGAATTATTAACGAGTTCGTCCGATCGAAATGCACACTTGCAGTTTTTGATCGTTGAGGCATTGCACGCCAGAGGCAATATACACGCGGCATGTAACGAGGGATGTAGGTGAAGAAATAAAAATTTCGTAATGTGGGTACTTCCTGCAGGAGACATTTCCACAGGTGCACAAAGCTGGCCCGAGGACACTTGTTGAACCGCAGATGTACCGGGACGTTTTCTTGTTCCTCGAGCTTGTCGCGTTTCCAACACCTGGATTATAGGTGCGTCGTTTCCCACGACGTTTGAGAAAATTAACGACATCGCGGCGCGTTTAACTCGTTTTAATTAACCATCTTCGTTCCGCAACGGCGAGCCGCAAGACTACTCGCTTTGCTGCTCCCATGTGGGTGTTTTGCAATGGAAAGTTAATCATCGTGCGGACAGATATATTTCGAGATAAGAATCTAGGCGTTCGGCAGATATATTTGAAAGAATTGACTAGTCATTGAATTCAGATCGCTTGCAAATATATAAAAGAAATCGAGATTATGTAAAGTCTTGAACTTTGTATTACTTGAAATTAGAAATGATCTGTTTAGCATGGAAAAATTTATTGCTCCAGTATTCACATTTAATTTAATGTGAATTCTCATAATTTTCAATGTTTTACATTTTTATATGTTTTATATTTTATATATATATATATACACAAGTCTAGTAACATGAATTATTAATATGTACAATATTCTAATATTTAATAAATTTGTAATTCAATTCAACAATTCTTCAGTTTTACCAAAAAAAAATAAAAAATATATATATAAAACACATTTAATTTAATTTAATGTTCCTCATAATTTTCAATGTTTTACATTTTCTTTTTTTTTTTTTTTTTTGGTAAAATTGAAGAATTGTTGAATTGAATTACAAATTTATTAAATATTAGAATATTGTGCATATTAATAAATCATGTTACTAGACTTGTATTTATATATATATAAAATACTTACATATTACAATATAATAATATATAGTAATATATTATATTATTAGACTTATATATATAGATTCATTAAGTATTTACTATAGTACTAACAAGAAATGATTCCTAATTCGGAAATTCAGAAAATTACAAAAATTTAGTATGTAAAACATACGCCAAATTTTAATTTTTCTCCTGTCAAAATTTACTTCAAGAAAATTGTCTCTCCAGAAATTTTACGATTTTACATTCTAATTCTGCAAGCGATAGAAAAACAGCTCTGAGACAAAAAGAAAGAAACACAGTAATGTGTATACGTGCGCAGTACTTTATAATTATTTAACAAAATTTAAATTTAACAAAATTCATTATTTCATATCTGTCAATTTTACTGAAAACTTGTAAAATGTGAAAAAAGTCGCGAGTGATTCTCAATTCGAGGGATTGTAGTTAGTTGATTTTAATGTTCCATTTTAATGTTTGTTCCAGTTGGTACTTCAATCGGCTGGGGCAGGACCGAGCGTTCTTCAGCAACTATGTACTCTTCCGTTTCCGTTTTATGGGGCTCCAGGGCTAATGTCGTATATTTTCCCGACGCTCTTGGCAGCCACGCATCAAAATCCAGAGGCTACAGCGATTCTGTCTTGCGAATTATCTTACCAGGTAAGTCGATCATTTTATAAACAATTCTGTTTCTTGTCACTCTTTTTTTTCGACGAGTTTAATTTTCTCGCGATTTGGTAATTATTTAGAGTACATTTCGTCCATTTCGTCCATGATGAATTGTCAAGGTCAACGTTTTAAGTAATTCTTGTCTAGACTATCATTAAAAGACAAACTTTTATGAATATAAAGAATCTAAATAGAAATTTATTTCTATTAGTTGTATCTTATTAATTGTATGTTATGTTAGACACTTTAGATATTTTGTATATCTTTCCACATTACCTGCATCCTATGTGTTGTTTCTGTGATCTTCAAATTCTCTATAAATTTGTAAAAATCGGCAATCCAGATATAACTCGTAGTTTTTGAGATATTTACAAAAAGAACTTTAGTTAAATTTAGATTAAAATTATATTACATCGTTATATGAGCACTTCAATTATTTTTAACATAAATAAAGAAGAATCTCTGAATTTTAGATTAATATCGGTCTGTTATGTGATCGGCAACACTAGTGAGAAATAATTGTCGATGAATCAATTAATATAACGTAATTAATGTAAAATAATATAAAAATAAATTTAGAAATTTAGATTAATATAAAAATAAATTTAGTAAATTTAGATAAATTTAGTAAACAATAAAAAAATAAATTTAATAAATTTAGATGTTGCCATTGAAAAACTTAAATCTAATTTAAATTAATCAAAACACATATTATTGAATATATGCAGTATGAAAAAAAGAAAATTTAAAATTCATTAGTTCTATTTATTTATATAACATAATATCTCACTCTCTTTATAAAATTCTGGATCATCTCATGTCATCTATATTTTAAACTTTCTACTATATATTTTTACCATGTATATAAATTATATGTAATGGTATACTTGTATACCAGATTATACGTGATGATATACAAAATACACCGAATACAATTTACGTTTTATTATTATTTACAAGATACAGAACACAAGTTGTTTTACACAAATTGCTCTACAGAAAAAGGTTATTCAGAATTGTAACATTGACAGCATATATTTGAACATCATCGAAATCGACGATAGTACACCCTATTCTAAATAATTACCAAAATATTTATTTCCATCTCTCCTAAAATTCAGTAAAATTTTTTCACGTAAACAAAATTCTTCGTTATTTCATTCGAATGCTTCACCTTAACCTTTTATAAAACAGTCCAAGGAAAAATCTATCTCCTTTGAGTTCTACGATGATTTTTCAAAAACTCATCGAAAATCGTTCGCTACAATCGAATGCCTACAAAAAGATCTTTAGTAAAAAATAATACTTATATCTATATAAGCAAAAAATAGTAAGAACGATTGCAATAAAAAGAATAAAGTAATACATCAATCTATACATAACGAGTGGTAAATATACCTAGCAGCATGTTCGTACCTTCTATCGCTAACGTTCAAAAAAGAAAAAAAAAAAAAAAACAGGATAGGGAAAGAAAATTCAAGCAAGTCAACACGATGTTCTATGTTTCACAGTTGCTGGAGGAGTACAGAAATTCCGACGACGGTAAGCTAAATCCATTGGTTCGTTTGCTGAAGGACTCGGTCGGTCCGTAATCGTCCCCAGTTAGGATACGATTAGTCCGTTTATACGTGTATCTCTTTTAAGTTTCTCTGTGTTTGCACGCGACAAACACTTCACGGACGTAGTTAACTGCAGGACCATTATTTCTATTGCGCGAAAGTTCGACGAACAGTTTCGAGAAAATTGTTGCTTGGTACGTCCATCGTTGAAAAGGTTGTTTCACCTGTCTCGAGGCTGGCACTCGACGTCCACCTATTTATATCGAACACATCCATTGAACAATCCTAAGAAGTTAGATCTAATTGACGAAGAAGAAACTAGGGGGGGGGGGGGCAACAATTTTTGCCTAGAATTCGTCACTTTTAACAATCGAAGGGTTTTTTTTTTTTACAGGAAACAATAGCTGCAGAGAATGCAAGTTTTTCCTCTTTGAGACATTATTAAATTAATAGTGCTGCTAACGATTATCTCGAGTTTTCCTCAACACGTTGACCATCACCCGAGATTTACATACGTATATGTTTTGTTTAATGAACAATTAATTTTTTTTGTTAAATATTATATTACAACGAAAGTGCAATTTTCAGTTTATAGTATATACAGTATGTATTTAATTATTTATGTTATTTAAAATTTCTTTTTCTGTTATTCATCTTAGTTTAACTTAGTTGCAATCCTAGTTTTTGATTTTTGTTCAAGCGATTCAATCTTCAAGTATCTCTCTCATTTTATACATGTACTTATAGAAAATACATGTACGTGGGAAATTGTGGTTTTTTTAAATATTTTGAGAAAGAACAATTTTAAAAAATTCCAATGTAGGAAATGAAATAAGATTCACATATTTAAATGTATTAGAACAAGTTAAGTTACATTGTCCATATACTTTTTGGTGGGCTTTGGTTATTCAAGATATCAATATGTCACTGGAATTTTACTTTATATTATTTTATCGCTTAAATGAACTTTCAATTTTACTTAAATACTTGGGATTTATATTTAATTTCTATCAAATTCATAAAAAGAAATAAATTTTTTGTTTTTACAGCGTTGGAAATGTAACGAGACAGCAGAGGATTACATTGATCTTCAAATAATAATTAATTTAACATAATTATTAATTTAAAGTTAATATAGTGTTTTAGGAACATTTACATACCTGGAAATTTTGTAACTCATCATGGAATTGAAAAAATTTAAAACAGTAAAAAGTTATAACAAACTATGTCATATGATTTTTCAACGTTAATGGAACTTTGGTTGAATAGAATTTAATACTTTTTTTTTTTATATGGGGGTTTAGAGTCGACTGCGAGGTCTTTAGCGACGTGCTGGAATTTTCTCTTTATATCTGGTCTAGCAGTTGGGTCTCCTTTAGGTAATTGATAACGTTTTTTTTTTGTTTTTTTTTTCTGGCAGGTTAGAGCGGTGTTTTGGTTTAATCCGTATTTACTTTTTAGGTTTCGGTATTTTCTGCATTCATGTAGCAGGTGTTGCAGAAAGGTGATTCTGTTTTAGTTAGGAGGTATTCGTGTGTGATGTTGGAGTGTCCGATTCGAAGTCTAGTCATAACTATCCTTTCTTTTCTGCTTATATTATTGTTTGGTATTTTTTGGTAGAAATGGTGTGCTGTATTGTGTATTTTGGTTCTATTTGTCGCAATTCAAATTCTGTTCCATTCTTCTCATTCTTCGGTCGTGGAAGCTAGTAGGTCTTGGTGTGGGATTGGGATGTTGGCTTCTTTTGTTCGGTCTGTTGTTACTTCTTTGGCTAAGGTGTCGTTTCCTTCAATTCCTCGATGTGACGAGATCCAGGTGATTATTATTTGTTTATGGTCGTTGGTAAGTTCGGTGTATGTTTCCTGAACCATTTGTATGACTTTATGCTTTTTGGTAGTATTGGTGTTTGATATCGCGTTTATCAAAGTCAAGGAGTCTGTGTAGATTACTGCGCTGATTGGTATTTGTTTTCTTGGATGTGTCGTGCTTCTAGTATAATAGCGTATGTTTCAGCAGTCAGGATGAATGTGTGGTTGGAGAGCCGTTGTTTTTTAGTAGTGTCTTCTATGACAATTGCGAATCCGATTCCGTGTTTGGTTTTGGAAGCGTCTGTGTAGATCTTGTGGTAATTCTTATAAGTGTTGTTTAATTTCTGGAAATCCTGTTTGTGTTCTATGTTGCTTTTTTCATTTTTTTTTTTTTTTTGTGACTAGCCAGGTCGATGTTTGTTTTTGGTGTTTTTAATGTCCATGGGGCTATTTTTTTGTGGTTGCGTTCGATAATTGGTGTTGAAGTAATTTCTCTTGTATTGGGATATCCTCTTAGTCTTGTGCACAATGGTGCCGGGAATCTTGAATTTCTGTTCTGTTGGTTTGTTAATCTGTCGGCAAAAGCATTGTTGTATGCTGGGTTATGTGGTGTTGATGCTATTTTTATTGCGTATATCTTAAACTGAGTAGTTTTCTTTTTTGTTCGAGGGGCATTTCTTTGGGTTCAAATAGTATGCCGGCTATTGGACTTGTGCAGTAGCTTCCTGTGGCTAGTCTGAGTGCTGTGTTTTGGATGGGTTCGATTATTTTGATTATGTTAGGTTTGGCTGTATACTATTGATCCATAGTCCAATGCTTCTTATTAGTGCTTGGTAGGTCTTTATAAGAATTTCTTGATCTGCTCCCCAGCTGTAGGGCTTTTATGTTGATTCGTTGAGAACATGCCTGTTTGAGAGCTTTTAAGTGGGTCAGTTTTTGGTCAAAAGTAAGTCCGAGTAGTTTTATGTTATTGCCTCTGTTTATCTCGACATTTTCCATATATAATTTCGGTATATTTTGGTGCAATTTTCGTTTTTTTGGAAAAGGCTCTAAATTTAGTTTTGTGGGGAAAGCTGAGTCCTGAAGTTTTTGACCATATTATTAGTTCGTTCAGGCTTGTTTGTAGTAGCTCGATTGTCGTATTAATGTTTTTTCCACTGCATGTGAGGTCGTCTGCGAACAGGTTTCCTTGAACCGAAGGTTTTATACTTCTGATTATATCATTAATGCCTATTAGAAATAGAGTGGCGCTGATTGCCAATCCTTGTGGTCCACTCCGTTTTGTATTATGGTTGGATTGGAGAGGTGTCCGTTGATTCTAACCTGGATGTGTCTGTTTTTTAGAAAGTTTTCAATGAAGGCTAACATATTTTCTTTTATTCCCAACGAGATCAGGATGTTTATGATTTTGGTTCTTTGTATCGTATCGTATGCCTTTTCAATGTCTAGGCAAACTTTAGTCAGGTATTCGTTGTTTAGGAACGCTTCGCTTACGCTTGTTTCTATGTTTATTAAGATGTCTGTGGTTGATCGATATTGTCCAAAGCCATACTGGTTGGGTGTGAGCATATTATTGGATTCTAGATGACATCTGAATCGTTTGTTGACGATTTTCTCTAAGATTTTGCATAGGCAGTTGGTTAGGGCTATTGGTCTGTAATTTTCCGGTATGTGTTTGTCTTTGTTTGGTTTAGGAATCACTTATTACGATCATTTTTCTCCACGCGTCTGGGAATGCTTGTTGGGTCCATATGCAGTTGTACATTTTTAAAAGGTATGTTGTCTGGTCCAGGGGATGAGTTTTTCAATTGTAGCGTGGACGTGAGTTCTTTTCAGGATACTGGTGTGTTTATCGCGGGTTCCGTGGTGGTATGTTGGTCTGTTTGTGTGTTATTGTTAGGTATTGTTGCAGTGTGTGGGATATTCGTGGCGAATGTTGGGTCGTGGATGGTGTTGGAATTTTTTTGGAAGGTCTTCTGCTATATCTTTTGGTTTGGTTGCGTATTTATTGTCACCCAGGTCGAGGAATTGGATTGTTGAATTGTATGTTTTGCCGTCGATGTTCTTTTTTCCATACTTCGTCCGTTGGGGTTTGCTTGGTTACGGTTAAGGTGTATGTATTCCACGATACGTCTTTTGCTGTGTTTGATTAGTTTTCGGAATTTGGCGCGCAGTTTCTTGAATTTAAAAACATTTCCGTGTTTTTTGGCAATTTGATATTTATTTCCCAATAAGACGCTTTATACTTTATATATTTTTTAGAACGTGTATGATTAATCGTTCTGAAATATTTTTGGATTTAAAATGTTTTGATCTAAATATTTTATGTCTCAAAATATTTATAAATGGGTATATTTAGATTTAATATTATTTCCACTAGTAACTATCGTGATAGTTAACGTGTTAAGGTCATAAAGCTATGATATCACAGAATATATATATATATATAAAGTATAATTACATATATAACGTTTATATAAACGCAAAATTTTATACAAAAAAAAGAAAACATAACAGTGAAGAGCATAATTAGCAACTACAGGTTTTATATAAAAACTTTCTTATTAATTTTGATGTACATTATCCCATTAATGTAATCCAAACAATGATTTATATCATAATATTACAAACACTTCAATTTCTTGAAATTCCATAAAGTATAAAATATAATGTTGGCAAGACGTTAAGTGAATTTTACGCATTTCTTATTCTGATTTTCGTGCAAACGGAAATATTCGAAAACATTGACGTGTTTGAGCTACTGATAATTTTATTACAATTACTTGTAATTATTACAATTATTGTAATTACATAGAAAGAGGACAGATTTCGACTATTATTTAAAAACAATAATACTTACTATTTATTAATATTTTTTTGATATTTTCCATACTTTTATAATACTTACATTCATGTATGTACTTATACACATGAATGTAAGTATTATAAATACTATATTTACCATATTTTCCATACTTTTATAATATTTACATTCGATGTATATACAACAACTTTATATGAAACAAAATTTCAATTTATATGGGGGCAAGTGTTTGTTGCACAAGCAAGAAAAACTTTATGTCAACGTGCAAAACAATATGTATTTATCAATGACAATGAGGAACAATTTAATGAAATCTATAATTGTTGATTACAGTTATACCCTTCACTGTATGTGCCTGTTACCGAGTTGGTGCATTACGCCACGCGTTGAAATCACTTCTAAACGTTTCTTCGGACCCTGCGCTCGCGTCTGTGATAGTTCCTTGTCTCTACATATCCTCGTCAAAAATTTACAACGTGGTATGTAGCGCAAGTTACAAGATTTTAAGAGACGAAAGGAAGAGATCATCGTTCTCTGAAACACTATCGTTGCATTTAACGCTCCCCTCTATTATTTTATGAAAACTCGCCGATAATTTCTAGCAGCACTTCCAACACGAACGATTGACGAGCTTCCCATTTTTCTACGAAATTAAATGAAATGTAAATACCAATGGAAACGCGTTCGAGGATATTTTTCTACGCCGCGTACGAGTTGTAATTAATTAATTAATTTTTCTCTACGTAATTACCACGAGTTACCACGAGCTTTATATCAGTGAATAATTTAATAAATTGTTTTCTTTTTCTTTCGTTTTTAGAATTATTTCGACCTTCTAGTCATTCGAGGATGACTTTTTTCTAGTCTTAGGATTCTTTTCAAGAATATTATTTACAATGGAATCACATTTTGTATAAATTCTTTTCTGTTTAATTTATTGATTACGTTTCTCTCAGCGTGAGTTCGCTATGAAAATATCACACGACGTTTATTTATATTGTTTTCTTTCCTTCTATGGGTTTTCAGTTGTTGGTCCTGAGATATTTATTTCAGTTGCTTCTTGAGCACGAATTATCTCTAAAATATGTACGATAAGATTCAACGACAATTCGGATAAATATTTAAAGCATTTTATTGATAGATACTGATAGTACCAGTATTAGTTTATATCGCTGTATTACATTCGTTGAAATATATAAAATATATAAATATAACATAAAAAGAATGAATTTTTTGTTTTTGTTTTATATCATTCGATTGCTTTCTATATTATCAAGAGAAAAACAGATACAAAAAATTGAATTTTGATCGTTGCTACGAATTTTAAAAGTTTGTGCGAATTTGGTAGGAATTCTTGA